CCTGCTGAAAGTAAATCTCAGTGCTGTCCTCAAGATCACTGTCTAGTGACAGCAACCTATATATGCTATCAATGGAAGTATCCAGGTGGATGAAAAGTGACCCTGATCGGGGTTCACTATGCGTTTGGAAGTAGGAAAAGAACTTTTTAGAGTGCCATCAGTAGTGAAAAGGATTCCACTTTTCTGGACTTGTCAGACAAAGATGTGTGTTTGTAGTTGTTATTTCTCTAACCATGAAGGCAGGATAAAAGTCTGCAGGTCTGTCCCTCTGCAAGCCTGTGGGCTCAAGTACTTTGTGTCTGTTTCCATAGATATAATGGTGGAATCACCTGATGAACAATCCATTGTGACGTATGTGGCGCAATTTCTGGAACACTTCCCAGAGCTGGAAGGGGTATGTGTTTACTCTTAGGTCATGTCATTTTCTTCGTTTACTTTGGTATACTTACTAAAGTCAGATACTGTTGTGTTCATCTTCTAGGTCTTCTTTCTACGCTATTTAAAATAAACTGTGCTCTGTTTTAAGTTTTCACATTTTTGTAAGATCCAGTCAAATGGGCATTCATTGGGGACTGCTAAACTCCTTCAGGTAGAACTATACATTTAAAAATTTATGTCCAGTCATAACTTTCAGAGGTTAAACCAGACGCTACTATTTTCCAGAGGTTAAGTAAGACTTTACTACTCTGCCATATTAGCGACAGAGTAAGGCTGGAGTTTCTCTCTTCATCTATGGTTGGGCTTTGAATTTTTTTGACTTCCATCTTCTCAAGTTTGAGAGCCACAATCAGGCTGAATTTAGCAGATATTGTATCAGGCATAAGATATCAGAGGTTGAATCTTGTCCATATAGCAGTCAAATACAGTCATTGTAAGCATGAAGTACATCATGGCAGCTTAAAGGGCAGAACTTTAATGCAGACTTTATCAAAAATAAGGAGTCGCTTTTGAGAAGTAGGCCCTAACAGGTACCGGTAAAGGCCTTTTGGAGAAACAGAAGATAAACTTACTGAGGAATTAAAGTACAGGAGACAGAAAATTGGAGGAAAAATATCAGGACTGGAGAAGAGATCTGCATAATTTGAAAAAGACATTTTGGAGGCTGATTGTACTTTTACACCTAGTTCAACATAATCTTTTTTTGTTTGAAAGGGTTCCCAAGGGACTCAGTGTCCCTTGCGTAGCTGGGTAATATTTTGTGCTTGAGTATATGCATATAAATCATGGTTCATACATTAAAGTTATTTCATCTCATTTGTTGACTGAAGGTTCCAGTTGATATATGTTCTCTATGGTCATTATTAGAGTTATAGGAATTAAAATTATTGTAATAATCTATTTAAGATTATTATTTTGGGTGAGCATTAAAGTTTGTTCGCATTAAGACCTGTGGGCATTTTAATAGACAAAGAGAAAGCCTACATGTATATATGTATATATACAATAATAGTGTATTGGAACTGAATAATCAAGCCAGTAGATTAATATGTTTTGCAGTAGATTTAGTGGACTTGTTAGATTTATTTTATTCCTAGGGTTTGGGATTGTGTCAAAAAAGCTGTATCAGTTGTCTCCATAGGTGCAGCAGGGAGAGATGAATATATTAACTACTGAGGAGTAGGCCTGTCTGCATTCTAATTGTCTTGTACGAGTGGCTTCTTGAAGTTGAACTTTGTTCAACTCACTTGACTTGCCAAATTGGTTTTCCTACTTTCAAAATAAGTGAGTCATTAACTGGTAACTCACAAGGTAATGGGATGATGGGCCAGTTAGTTATTCTTTCTGTAGCATTTAGGAAATGTAAAATGCACGTAAAATGTAAAAAGTATAATTTGTCTTTTAATGGTGTGTCATCCCTTATAGGAAGACTTCACAGATCCTGACAAGGAGTTTCCAATTGAGTCTACATATGTCCGCATCAAAGACACTCCTTCAGAACAGGAGGGCAAAATCTTGATTTTAAGTGAAAGTGAAGACAATATGTATACTGTTAACCATGAAAGGAGTCATCCTGCTCCTCCAAAGGTTCATATTCATGATACCCCAGAGAGAATCCAGTCAGAAACTGTTCCTGAAAAATGTAATGGCAAAGCATTAGGCGATTCACAGGAAACCTTTGAAGAGGAGCCGAAGAGGCCTACCTCTCTGAAAATTACAGGATCTGTTAGTTTTGAATCCAGTTCCTCTTGGGAAGTTCTTAGTGATAAATTGATCCCAAGTGAAGGGGGCATATATGATTGTCCACTGAAACAGAATAATGACCTTTCTCCAGCTGTTCTGACAGATCAGAAAAATTCTGTAGACTCTTTTGAAGACTACTCTGAAGAACTAACTAGAGAGACCTCTACTGAATATGACAATGAAACTAAAAGCCTATCAGCCAATACTTCTTCGAGTCCGTCGTCTTGGACTTCAGGTATACTTACAGATGAATCCATAAATAAAGCAGAAGAGACCAAACCCCAAGCTTCAACTTTTTTACCAGAAAATACCTCAAAACAAGAAGATATGCATAAATATGTTCTTCATCTTCTAAATGAGGAGATATTGAAACTTCCAGAAAATGAACATGCAAAGCAATCACCTGTCTTTGAGACAACAGAAACTAACCATTGTTTAGTGAATAATTCTAATCTCGAAAGCCAAGACCTATCTACACTGCAGGAAACAGCTGATGACTCTCCCTCAGATGTACCTAAAAATCCAGAGGACCTGGATAGCTGTGATGAAGCTGAGTCTTCAGCTGAAGTGTTACCCAGTTCTTCAAAAGTATCTGTAATACCCCATGATCTCTTTTACTATCCACATTATAATGTCCCAATATCAGCAGTTTTGGATGCTTATGTTGAGCCTTGTCTTGAGGATTATGATACTAGAAATGACAAATCTTACTCTGAATCAGTAACAGATGTTTTACATGAGAAGAGGATCCCAGCACAGAACTACAGTGATGATTCTGCAGAGGCAGGTTTAGGGAATAAGCTAGGTGTCCCTCCATCAGAAATGAGTACTGAGAACCTAGAGGAGGGAAAAATGGATGCTAACAGAGACATGAATTCTTCGCATGAAAAAGAAGTGGGTTTACTAAAAGGAAAAGAGAGAGAAATTGAAAAAGATGGCAAAAAAGTCACCAGCCCTCAAAATTCCACTATTGCCCAACATCCTGAGGTACTTTCTTTTCTTATTGGTAGCATTTCTTGTGTATATATGGGCAATTTGCACCTAAACTGAATGCTTTTCATTTGCTGTATACGCTTGTTAGAGAAATTATGTAAAATGTATTTGATTTCTTGTCCCACCACACTGTTGGCCACAGCCCTCTACTGGAAGGAATGGGATTGCAGATACCTGAGGAGATCTGACATTCTTAAATGATTCTGCCTACAGAGAATAAGGCCTAATAATACTGCAGAAATGTGAATTGTACTGATGTTTTTAAAACAGTTTGAGGCTTCTGCATAATCCATAAGCCTAGAAGATTATCATAGAGGGTATTTTTAATAATGCTCTGTAATGAGATGAACAGCAAGTAATAGTGTTGATATAGAAAGGATGCAGATAAAGGTAATTTCTGTCTGAATCTGAATAAGTCTACACTGGAGGAAGAGATGGGAATTTTAGTAACTATTCTGTATATTGAATTTAGGCAATGTGCTATTGCAGCTGTTCTTGTAGACACTGATTTTAAATTTCGTCTTAAACTTTTTCCAGCTTAGTAACTTTAGATAGTGTTTTTCAGGAATAACTGTCCATTTGAGAATTTGAATGTTACTCTACATGCTGTTTGGACATGTTTTGGTCTTGACACTTACTAGGATAACCAAGACAAATTCCAAGAACCATGGCATTCATGACTTCTTATGTAAAAAGAGTTGGTGGTACTTTATAGCTCAGTGTCATCCAAAAAATTGTAAAGAAATGAATTGTTTGCTGGAAGCACTGTTTGGCTTTTCATTTGCTTTTATCCTGCTTAATAAGACCTTAGGTCTTGTACTACATGCAGTTTACCAGCTGAATACACTACACCACTAAGATGTTGGCAAGGGTGGGGAATCAATCTGGTCATTGTCTAAAGGAAAATGTTTCTTAATTTAAACAGGCTGCAGTAGACCATCTAGATGATTTATCGACAGCTGTGAAGACGTCAGAAAAAAGTAGTAAAAGGAAGGAAAAAAGAAAAAATGTGATCAAAGACTTACAGATTTCAAAAATTGGGGCTAGTACTCTGTCACTTGATAAACTGGAAGAAATTGCTGATTGTCAGGAATTTACCAGGTATTTCACATGAGCTCAGTCTTAAATACACCTAACCTTGGTTTTAAAGAGTGTGCCCAGACCTTTGGATATTTCTTATAGCTTTCTTTCGGGAGCAGTGTTTTTGGACTCACTGGCTCCTTTCTGTGTTGCTCTCAAACATGTCAAGCAATTCAGTGCCAGTGGACTTGATTTGACCTTGCTATGATTTGTTTTGGTTTGTCTAAGCACACAAAACCAACTAGAATGCCAGAGCATTTTGAACATAGCTGTGTTCTAACTGTTTTTCCAAGAAGGAGTTTTTTGTGATGTAGATGAAGTAATTGATTATGAAGTCCATGGACTATGAGTCCACTGAACTACTTTACTCAATTGATATTTCTTGGCCTTTTTTTCTATCTGTGAAAAAGTGAATGAGACATTCAGCTAATTTTACTCTATTCACTTCTGTTCCCTCTTACCTTCTGATGTGGTCCTTAGGCAATGTGCTTGAGTGAGACATGAACTGTAATTTGTCAGTGCTTGTCAGTAAACCACTCTAATGAATTTGAAAGAATCTGCCTTCAAAAACTGTAACCTCCTTCTTCAAGCTTTCTTTGCCCTGGAATGCCTTTCAATATTTTTTAAATGGTAAACCATAAAATTGGTAAGTTGGGATATAGTCTCACTTAAATGTGAATGATGCCAAAGGTGCAAAACTCTTACTGAATACTGTTTTTCAGAAAAGATTCAAATTTGGGCGTTTGGATTTTTATGTCATGGGTCAGATTTTCTCAAAGCTACTGTTTATAATGTCGCCGATTAATTCAAATCTATATTCTAATGCATGTAGGAATGCATATTTGTGGTTGTACATAACCTAAAACTAACATATACAATTGCAGAGGCTCTCTTTGAAGTCAAAAGCAACTTACATGTATTAATTTAAAAACTTTTGCCTTTATATGCATTTCAGAACTAGTTATAGTGATTCCAGCATTTATCTCCGAAAAAGGTTTCCTAATACTTCTGAGAAGGTAAGAATATGGAAATTTATCTTTTTATCACTATTTCACTATTTGTCTTAACTCCCAAAATTCAAATACTGTATATATAAGCTCTCTATGTAAAAACAAATACTCCATATATAAAGCTGTATGATAAACACAATAGCCCTACAACTTCTCGTAAGTTTAGTGCCAAAACTGGGAAGCTTTATTGAATTATCCCAAATATATGTAACTATCCCAAATACATAGTATAGTCAAAAATATGTGTATAGGAACTTTATTGAACCTTGAACAAACCTACAAAGGAGTAACTAATACTACGATTAAATCTATTGTAATTTTTAGGCTTACTTTGTCATAATTACGTAGCTGCAACTTTTCACTTCTTTGAATCTGCCTTTGTTTGCTGCTCCAGTTTCTTTTAGTTTGTACATTTTCTGTATGTATGTAGGCATCCTTGTCACAGTCCTGGCAAAATGCTAAGTTTCTCTTGAAATGCACTAATCAGAACTGAGCTCTTTACCTGTCGTTTGTAGTAGTAGTAGTGTATTATACTAGTTCAGCAGCAACAGCTAAAGTAGTTCAGCTGTAATGTGAAACTACATCCTAAAAGGCAGATGTAATTCATACTAGTTTCTTGAGCACACATATACAACTGAGGTCTGGATGCACTTTTTAAAATGTGAAGGGGAGAGGCAGCAACAGCAGTCTGGCCACACTGAGCAAGGATAAGAGTATGTCTCTTCCCAGCACAAAATAAAATTCTAACCTTAGCGTTTAAAGACATTTTGTCATCGATGTTTAATGAAATAGAAATTTCACGCAAGTGCTTTAGTCTCGTAATGCTGCCAGTGCTACTAGAAATATATGTGATTGAGGAGAGTTGTATTCAACTGAATAAAAAGGAGAGTTTTATTCAACTGAATAAAAGCAGTTGAAAGCACAAAAATTTTGTTTTTTCACAACACTGTTTTTCTTTTTTTGTGTATCAGACTGACATGGTGGATGTCCAGGTGGGAAATAAATTTGAAAGCACCACTTTCATTTAATCTGAGCAAATGTGAGACATACTCTGCACAGAATGCATGCAAAGCATGTCCTTGTGAGACATTGAATTTTATCTTTTTATAAAATATATTTCTGTGTGTTCCCGTATATATGTGTGCTTGTTTATTTGTTTAAGGAAACCTCTGGTGAAAATGAGCAGAAGATGACAAATGTGGGTGAAAAGCTCATAATCATCAGGTGAGTAATTTTTATGCAGATAAAGCCTTTTGCAGGGAATCTATAACTTCTAGGTACTTCTAACAGTGCTACAAAGGGAAATGCAAATTAACTATAATGGTGGAGATCAGACTGGAAATCTTGTGTACTAGCATGAAGTCTGTATTTCTCATAGATGTGAGATAGAAAGCTTGTTTGTTGCTAGATCTCACCTTGACTAAACAGCTGGGTTTTTTGGCTTGAGCTGCTTAAGTAAGATTTCAAGCACTTTCCTCACATGGCGGCCATTTGAGACCAAGAAAGGAATGGGAGGAGTTCAAATATGAGGCCCTCTGGCAGTGCTGACCAAGACTGTTGTCAGGTTTGCAAGACTGTTGAGACAATGTATGGCACGGTCAGTGCTAGAGATAGATGATATTTCAGCATAGTTCTGTTAGAACACCCATGAGTTTCCATAGTTTGTATGTGTGGCCAGCTTGGACTTAGTGCCTCTAACTCAGATAAAGCTCATTTGCATTTTACCATATGCGCTGGTGCTATAATGGTGCTGAACGCAAAGCATGTATCCCTTGTGAAGCAGGTCTTGCACCACCATTGAAATGGTGGTTGCAGCTAATTGCAGAAAATACATAAAATATTACCAGGGTCCATTGTCCTAATCTCAGTTATGCTCCTTGTAAAAAATATATGAATAGCTGTAACAGTTATGCCTGTTTGCAGACTACTGATATTAAGCAAGTTTTGTCTAATACTCAGTAATATATCCAGTATAAGATACGAGTGAGCAGGATGCCCTAAGCCAGAAAAAGGACTTGTTCAAATAGGCCGATTTTCTCCAAAGGTAAATTCAAGAAAGTAATGATCCCAGAGGGTGATGCATATGGCATTGTAATATAAGTGTACCATCTTACACCATTTAGAATAAGACCTCTCCTTATCTTTGTGAGTGCTCAGTAGCGCTGACAGAGTCCATAGGGCTTTGCCCTTATGAACCGCAGCTAGAATTTTGGAGCTGTCCTTGAAAACCCAACTGCTAGTTTGTTTCTGGAAGCCTGGGGCTTTGTCTGTTTAACATTTTGGGTGTCTGACATAAGAAGCTATAAAAGTAGCTGATTTGGGGAAAGTAAGAGAATGCCTTCCCTCTGCAAGTCTAATCTATCTCTACTCTCAAGTCAGGTACTCAAACAGTGTAGAAGAGAAATGGTAAAAGTGTAATATAAGCGTTGGCCAAAGCTATGTTTATAGTTCTGAAAATAAAAGGGTATCTTTTTGACAGATGGGAATTGGCTTATATCAAAAGAATTTACTATAATGTCATAGAGTTAAATACCTGAGAACTTGTCCAGAGTTTTCAGAGTAAGAGCTGTGTATTTTGGCTCATAAGGAGCCTCATAAGGCTCGTAAGGGCAAAAGCCCATTATGCACTTCACTGCCTAGCTTGGTCTGCAACTGATTGGATTGAAACGGTTCATTAAACTGCTCTCCTTTAGTCTGTCTTCTGGTCTTTACAGTGCATGTTAACAGTGGTTTGTTTTTGTGTTTTTTGTTTTGCTTCGTTTTGTTTTGGCTGCCTCTTATGAAATTCTGTCCTGTCTGTTTTCAGGAAGAAAAAGGACTTGGAAGCAAGTGAGACTCCAGCACCGACTCAGCAGAGTCTGAGTGTTGAACAACGAGAGCTGTTCTACTTCATTGTTTTCCTCTGGGCGCTGGTCTACTGCCTTTTACTTCTTCCACAACTTGCCAGCAACAGACTTTGATCTCTGTGAGGTGTGTGGAAAAATAAAAGATGGTGGTCTGATTGTTTTGTGTATCTGCATATGAATATGTTCCTTCAGGTGAAGCACAACTGTAAATGTAGGACCTGATATTTGTGGTTATTATCAGGTTCTCCTCATTTCCTCTACTATTGTGCTATGATTGTGTCTAAGCACATTTTATATTATGACAATTGTGTAAATATATATAAAACACTGATTTAGTAGATGCGATTTTGTACATTTGTGCCTTGCTTTATAATATGCTAAATAAAAATGGATAATTATCAGTAGAAATATGAACAAATCAGAGCTCCAGTCTTCAAAAATGATTCTTCTGGCTTCATTTCCTGAAGTAGAGCCCTACATCTGTGGAAGATGGGTGGTTTTTGACTTGCCCATGAATCTGGCCCATGTGAAAGGGCAGGTCTTGAAATGTTCTTTCACATTTTTCATTGAATTTTTTGATAGAGATGGAAGTACTGAATTTGCTTAACCTAGGATACTGAATATAATTCTAATGGCCATTCAGCAGAGTAACAAAATCAGGTTGGTTTTAATCTGGGGAGGAGAGTTTGTTTTTCAAGAACTCAAATTCATTGTTGTCCTGCACCTGTCGTGTTTAATTTGCAGTAACAAAGTGGTGTGGAGAAGTGTGAAGAACATACGTTCTAGCTGCTTCTTGGAAGATTATGGGGGAATCCTTAATCCAGACTCTTCTGTAGAAAATACCTGAAGAAGTACTTTTTTTGTATGTTATTGATGGTGGCCATCTTTGAAAAGGTGTTAAAATGATTAAGCTTTTTGATCAGGAACAGATGCCGGTATTTTGTTTTTTATTTTTTTACAAAGGTACCTCCCCACTTCTGAGGCCACATCTGCTTCCTTTTCCTTTGCGTCTTTCACTTACCAGATCATACAAAGATTTCTTTCTTTTGAAGATATGAAAAGTAATAGGCTACCTAATTTGTTCAGGCAATGTTGAAGCACAAGTCCATGGTAAGAGGATTAGAAATATCATTTAGGTGCCCAAAACAATAAAGGCGGAAATGACAGATGTAAAACTTAATACAGAGGAATGTTGACAGCCTCTGTTTACTGTCTAGTACAACTGAAGAAACTTCTGTGACTTGTCCACAGACACAGTTGTGCCACTTAGGCATCTTTTAATTTTTATTCAGATCAGTGATCACTTTAGGATATTATACTTAAGCATTTTAGCCAGAGAAGGAGAGAGAAATCTTCAAATTCAGTTTGATAGCAATAACTTTCGCCCTTGTGCCACTCTTCATAGGCTCCCTTGATTTATGACAACTTTTTCTGAGCCTTGGTGTCCTATTCTCTGGTTCTTGCAAGTCTGTTGGTCTTCAAGAGGAAGTATCTGGAGCTGGATTACAGCCTCTTCATAGAACATTAAAGCTACCACAGTTAAATCAAGTAAAAGAATCTCCTTCCGTCTTCTTTCCTTTCTCCTAAGCATATTATTGTAACGAGGAGGTCTTTGGATATCTCATCTAAACAAAAAACTGACGTCCATACAGAGTAGAAAAGTGAATGGCAATGCATGGATGCTGGCAGTTTCATTACACAATATTTTCTTCCAACAAAGAAGGAAGAGGAAGCCCAGGCTTTTCTTTCTTCCCTCCCATTGACGAACAGTGACTGAAGCAGTGAAACGAGCAGTTTAAACGTCAAACAGCATGCAGCAATTGCCTTGATCATCTCACTCAATGTTTAAACTGAAGTGTCCTTTCCCATGAAGAGACGGAGATCGTTTCTTCTGTGAAAAACAGACGAAAATAATTCTAGATAAGTCCAGTATACTTGGCATTTAGCTGCCTTCTATATTTGAGGGTTTTTTGTTTGGCTGGTTGGTTTTTTGCTCTAACAGAACCAGTCTACCTTACTCAGCCATGCCATGAGTAAGAGGATCCAGAGTAAAGCAATAAAAGTGATTATACTGGTATAGTCAGCTGTGGATGAAAAGATAGCGAACTGCTTAGGAGTTTTGCCATTAGCTGGAACTGCACAATGACACCTGCATAAGCAGCAGCTCTCCCCACTTAACAAGATGTGCACTTTGAGTTTTAAGCCTGCATCTATTCGAATTAGCGGTTCTTCCACAGTGCAAGTTCCTATCTCCCATCCCAAATGCCCTATTCTGAAAACATAGTGCTTGATATTGGACTTTGTGTGCCTTTCTCAGCTTGGAGTCTAAGATCCTGATTGTGAAACACTCACTGTGGCAAAACCTTTTGTTTTTAACTTGCTTGCTAGAGGAGTGTCTTCAGGTATCTGAGGTTTTAAAGGCTGGTGGTCAGTTTGAGTGGTCATGTATCCATCTTCCACCAGGATTGTGCCCTGTCTGAATAAGGAAAGTTCTTCTGAATAAAGGCCTCATTTTCTGATAAGTGCTGAGCTTGAACTGACCTCATTTGATATTTTGATTTAGAAGCAGAATTCAGATATGTAAGGGTGCTGATCTGTTAAATCCCTTTCTAAAACCAGTTCTTGTTAAGCAAACACAGGTAGCAGAGCACTGTGAAGTGTAAGTGTTGGGAAGTGCTTGAGGATCTCTAGATAAAAGGTGTTTGATATTCACAAAAGCACCGTTAAAGAGTATGAGACAACTATATTAGGCTGGTTCAATGTTATTCTAGTACTGTAACTTAACTGCAACGTGTTTTATTGCAATTTTATAGCAAGTGCAAGAAAAGGAATACTATTCAAGATGGAAAACCCCTAAACATGTATGGGGCACATGCTTATAGAGTGGAAGAACTGAATTAAACAGTCACAAATTACAAACTGAAACGAATGTAGCCTTTGCCAAATTGAAGGAAATGATCAAGATGAGGATAGGGCAAGTACAAACTACAGTAAAAAATGACAATCACTTTTCAATGCCGTGAATATTTTTGATGGATTGAGCTCTAAAATGTATTTTTATTGAGTTTCTAGATTGTAATGAATGTGTCTACAGAATTTTATGCAAAGCTTCAGAGTTCGGCTGTTTTAAAAAGAGATTTTTTTATATAGCAGTGATTATTTTATCTATATATTTAATAGAACTGTAAAACCATTTTAAAAGTACCTGTAAAATTCTATGTATGTGATATGCTTATTTATTAATTATGAATAATGAATATAAACATTAAGCTATGCCTCAGTTGCATCATCCTTTTGGAAACTGGAAATAGGAGATTTCTTAATGATCAGCACACTAGAAAAATATGGGAAAGGATCAAGTACAGTTGCGTGATTCTTAATGCTGCATAGTAACATATCATTTTATGATGTTAACTTTCAACTACAGTTGCAAAACATACTGAGTGATTAAGCTATTTTTTTCCCTTAAATTCACTTCCTAAGGCTGAAATTTCTACATGTTGATATTTGGTATCTAAACACATTTAAATCCTCTGCAACTTCTCATGACTGTCTGTTTATTCTAGCTCAGTGTGATTGACTTCTTTATCCAAGTAGTGTCCCATTGAGTTTACTAGAGTTTTCTGCACTGATCCCCATAGGATCAGAGCTTGAGACGATGTGTTGAGCCAGTGTAGATGCTCTCATACTCAACCATCCAGCAAGATAATAGTTATAAGATGATAGTGCATTATGACTTATGCTAGCTTTAAGTACTTGGAGTCCCTTCTTCCCAAACGCAGACTTGAATGCATCCAGTGATGTGTTCCGTTCCTTGACTTCTGTGGAAGTCAATGATGTGACCCATCTGTGTGCTACGCACACACTACAGGAGCTGGCCCTGCGGTGATTTAAATCAGCTTTAAACACGTAGGCCAGGAAGTAGCTGAAGCCTATGTATTGCCATAGAGCTAGATCCCAACAATTACAACCTACACAAACAGTGCCACTGACTTCAGTTAATCCCTTTCTATGGATAGGATTTGCTTGCATAATTTCTGTAGGATCAAGCCCTTATTCTTTCTAGCAAGTTAATATGTGCTTCCATGTTTCATTAAGAGAGCAACGGGGGGAATGAATGATTGGAATACAATAGTAAGATCACTGCTTGGAATACGGCTGTGAAACCTTTCCAGTTGAAGGCTCTTACCCTGATAATAGGTTGCCCACTTTGTTTTTAATTGGGCTAATAAACAGTGAAACTGAATGGAGGACCTCCCCTTCCCAACTCCGCCAAGTTTTTGTATTTCCATGTTGTGCAGTTATAGTCAGGTAAATAACATCAAATTCGTCCCCTCTGCATACCACTGATAATGCTAATTTAAAGCTGCCCAGCTTACAGTTTTTAATGTTCCAGTTTTGCATAGAAACAGGAATTGTATTAGAGGTTTTTTTTTTTTTTTCTCCAAAAGCACAAAATTGCTGAAGCTATTTAGGCAAGAGGTTAGGATTTATATACACCTTCAAACAATAGGGAAAAGGCGTATTCTGAAGAGGATAGCTTCCTTCCTCTGTCCATCTCTTGACACACAACTCTATAGCCCACAGAGGGCTGATGATCTCCCTTAAGTGAGAATTAAAGGACTGTCATTTAACCCTTTTATTCTCAAGTGCGATGTCTGTTTCGAGGTCATCATAACTGAAATTGTGGAATATCAAATTATTTCTTTCTTCCTCTGAATGTGAGATATGGAAAACTTCCTTTCACCTCAGTGGCATTTTTGAAGACTCCTTTCCAGGCAGCTGCTACTGCTGATAATGGAAAATGAGAACTGTGTCATTTTCTCACCAGCAGGGGAATGTCTAAGTTTATGTGTCTGGAACATAAAATTGGACCCTGGGTGATTAATATACTTTTTTCTTTATGATAAGGTTAGAAGGGGCAATAACAATAATTAACTTTACCTCTGTGAGAACTACTGAAACATAACATTCCAAAAAAGGTTAGTTTCTGGCCTTCACTACTGTGTTCAGGTCATGTAGTATTTTATTCCCAAAGTAGCTTCATTGCTTTCACTGGGCATTCCAGGAACCTCACTGATACATGGAATATATTTGCTCTGTGTCCAAACAACAATTCATAAATGGGGTCCTGATCCATGGTTATTATTAGACTATAGCAAATAATCATGTATTTAGTTAGAAACGACTAGTCTGACCTTAAGTAAAGTAACTTTTAAATTATGTGCTGCACATTTTTTGAGAATAATGAAGTCACCATTTTTTAATACTCAATAACTTACATAAATATCTCTATATCTGTTGTAATCAGATAAATTCAACTTCTGCTCTTATCTTGAATAAAACTTATCTTAGTTGGCATACCCCTTCATGATACTGTATTCTTCTGTGTAAATGCTGAAGAAACTGTTTCACCCTTCTTGCTAATGTTCTGCAGTTAAAATTTAACTTGTAAAGTGCTTGTGTGCTACAGAGTTAATGAGGGACTGTTACGGTGAAGAAATCATTTGTAAGTAAGGAATGTACTATTTAAAATACATGCTTCTCTTTGACAAGTGGTCAGGAATGATGGTTATTTAAATGAGATAAAATGCTAGGAGGATTTGAGTGCTATCAGAAGACATACTGAAGAAGGCAGATTTTTGAGTACTTTGAAATACATTTCTTCTGTATGCTCTCAATCAGAGGTATGTATTGAATGTTTGCACTTGTTGCTCAAAGCTAATTTTTGTGAGAACGAAATGTATACTTGTGTATAGCTGGTATAATAGAAAACAAATTGTTTTTAGAAATTGTTACTCTGTAATATGAGTAGTATTTACTAGTGAATAGTTCCACTTTATTTTATAAAATCTCCAATTTTGAAATAAATGGACAGGCTTCCTTTATATAATCTGTTATTTGTGGTGGGTTTGTCCTTTTCCTCCAAGAACATCTGCCCAGATGTATTCACCATTTAGCAGAAGGAAGATCTCAGTAAACAGAATGAATTCATAAAGTTCATTGTTTCTGCACCTACCCAAAAAGAGACTTTTAATTTTAAGGAAAGAATCTAAACTTTTTTTCCAATCAACAAACAGAATGAGCTTCAATTTTTTTTATAGAGGTGAAGATTTATTTATTTATTAGTGCATAGAAATTGGCATTGTATAGGTGATCCATGGGAAAGCTTAGAAAACACAATTGTGTTGTATTATACCGTTCTCACATTATTTTTTTCTGACCTGTTTCTATTTAAGTGTCTAAACGTTAAGACTAGTGGATTAGTAAATTACTAGACACAATACTGATTCATATTTACTGTGTTCTCCCCCCTACACCTTAGTTTCCTTTGAGGTATATAAGCAAAGGAAAACACTCAAAATACAACAGAGATGCAGTACAGTTTAGAATCAGACCTATGATCTGTTTCCTAAAAGATATATGTAAATTGGATAAACATAGAGGAAGAAAACAGTGCGTAGAGAATGGAGTTAGGAGTGCTTCTTCTCTAATTCAAATTAAAGGTTGGTGGGTATCATACTTCAGGAATTGTAAATGTTCTTGGCCCATCGTAATGATATTGGCCCATCCTCCCTCATATCGAAGGCTTGTAGGCAGTAAGAGATTTCTGATAATGCTGTTGAGGATTTGGCATATTCGGGTCCAGTCCTGCTGGCAGTGCTGACTTCAGTACCATAAACATTAAAATCTCTAAATATAATTTGAGACGAGTAGCTTTTATTGGTGTAGCGAATGATGCTTAAGTGAAGAAAAAAAGGGTTGTGATGTTTTAAAAATTAAGTAAATTTTTTGCAACTGACTCCGTGATTAGGAATTTGCACGTGGATTAAGGGGGTTGAGGTTCAAACATGCAAGGCAGGTTACCTCAGATCTCGGGAGCAGAATCAGTTTTTGCAAGAGTATGGGATCCAAACTTCAGTTCTAATTCAAATACAGAATAGAAACTGTTGGAGTTAATTTCTTTTCTCTAATGAAGGATAAAAGTTATTCTGCTAGCCACTGCAAAGATAATTGATTTTATTTTTATATTTTTTGTAACTTAAAGAAGATGCAAGCGCAACATAGGACATATGCCCATCTGGATCATGATCGTAATAAAGACAAGCATAGCGTTCATTTCAGACAAGGGACCAGTACGCACACTGCAGTTTTGTGGGAGCCCAAGCCTTCTAAGGATAAACCTCTGGCCATCACGCACATACTCTGGTTGCTAGTGTATACTGAAACCTGTGTTCTGTCTTCACTGCTTGTTTTGTATCTCATTGATAAACAAAAGATAGTGGGGGCAGGGGTACTTGTACCTTCAAATTGCTGGGCAGATATAACAAAATCTTACGCTTGAGCTGTGATTTCTGCTAAGATAGCAGCTAGCATAAACTAATAATCTTGAGTTGCTATTTGTATTGATATTACAAAGATTATTTCCAGGAGAATGCACTACAATAATTTAGGAAATGCCTTCCAGTGACTAATTCCATTACTTGGTTAGATGGTACCACTGGCAGTTCTCCGTCCCGGCCAAACTGTAAGCATTACCCTGGAATATGATGTGACATATGATCAAAGCAAAATATATAGCTCCATCTGCTGTAAATACTTTGAACTGATTATTTTTGCATTACTTTTTACGGCTGATCAGTACCCTGGGGAACTGATTTATCACTTTGCTGATAGAGATTATCTGCCTGTTAGCAAGAATCAGTGTAAGTGTAGCAGCTAAGTACATTTATACTTTGCAAGACGGTATTTTGCTTGATTCTGGGGCAAAAAATGAGTATAAAAAAGCATTTTACAAGGATATTAGGAACCTTTGTTAACTATTGTATGATAGATCCTTTGTACTGTGTCATTGTGAAATACAGCTGCTTATGAAATGCAAAAATTAGATTTGCCTAAAGTAACCTTAGTCAGCGATAGATATGAAGAGACTTCCAGTTATGCTTCTGCTAAGCAAGGGCTCTCCACAATAAGGAATAGCAACACTGTTTTTAGTCAATAGTCATGAAATGCTGAGTCCCTTCATTGAAAGAGTGAATCAGTTGATAACACATTTTTATATTAATTTGAAAAGGTAAAAGAGCAGTTTGAAGAGGTCAAAAAGACACTAAAGCAATTAAAAATGTTAAAGTTTCTCTTGCAGTAGGGAAAATACCCTTATTTAGAGTTATGAAGTCTGGGTCATTGAAGTGTGAAAGCACTAAGGAAAAAGATTGCAAATAGCATCTTAGAGGGGACCAAAACTTTGTGCAAACCTCACACCTTTTTAAAATCTCAGCTCCAATTTTAGGAATGGATTCAGTTCAAATATAGGTTCTTGCTTTCTTTCAACTTCCTCCTCCATAGTCACACCTGCATCTTTTTCTCATAATACATTACATATGTTACTATTAGCAGTGTAGCCACACTTAATGTTTGTAACTGTCTCTTTTCTGCAGTGGTTCACAACTATGAACTAAAAAACCTGGTAGCCAGACAAGAGACTGGCTGAGAGGAAAGTCTCAAGTTAAATTTTCTGAAGGTGGGTGCAGAATAGTCACATCCTTTCCTATCCAGAAACTTGCTTACAACACTCTGGCCTGCAGTTGTTTCTGGATAACTGTCAGCTTATTTCAAAGTATATTATTGAAATAGTGTATGATATAGGGACAAAACAGCATCACGGCTGGTACCAGCAACAGAGAACAACAGAGGTCACCATTAACTTGCAAGAAGAATTATCTTCAGAATCCATTTTAGAATTTGAGAAGATAAATCAAATCAAAAAGCACAAAGCCTATTTTCTGCTGGCATAATTTCAAAATTCTATAGCATGCACAAGGCTAATTACTGAGTTTTGCAGAAACTGCATTTTTGCTTTTTTCTAACCTAAACACAAAGGTTTTTTTTTTTCTTACCCAATACGAAAAAAATAGAAACAAAACATACATTTTTGGAAAGGGGAAGGGAGAGAAATGTTTCTGTTTTCCTGTTGTTGTCTTACAACAGTTATCTCATTATCAGTATTTCCAGTTCTAAAGAAATGGAGAAAGCTATAATTTGGTGAATTATTCATTTATGCTGTTCTGGATTTTAATTAGCTGAGCTATTCAATTCCTTTCCCCCAATGGCCTGTTTGTTTTTAATCAAACATTGAATGTCAAGTAGTTGGAAATATGTGGGATTTTTAGAATTTTGTATTGCATTGATGAATTCAGCTTAATTTTCTTTACAAATCTTTTAAAGACATTTGTGAAATCAACATAAAAATCAATTTTTGATTTGGGGTTAAACTCTGACAGCTAGCTGTCACAATACAAGCATATAACATAAAATATCCATTCCTTACAAAGGAGAGAAGCTAGAGGTGATGGAATAACAAAGTACCGCACAAAGTTGATCCTAACTGTGCTTTTAAATCACAAACTCCTGTCAGCAGGCTTAAGGAGGAAGTAGCTGTGGAGAAAGACATCCTTTTCTTTATACAAAAATAACTTCCAGAATTCTTTTGGCATTTATATGCATTGTTTTCTGTGTTTTAAGAATTCTGCTTGCCTTCTCTTTGAATTGGATAAAATTGGATAAAATTCATTATTTAACCATGGCCTGCAAAGGATTGAAGAGAGTTTCCTTCTGCTCTATTTTACATTAGAAATAATCAAGAATGCTAATTTTCTTCAGTACTTCAGCTAAAATTGGAAAAATAGACACGTGTTCTGACAGCTCCCACTGGATAAGACTTAACAGCTGCTCCTCTTCTTAAGGTTTTATCATGGGATAGAATTAGTCTTCCATCCATAAAAACAGAAGGATACCCTTTGCATGCTACAAAAATACTTAATACTTCAATATTTAATAACATTAGCATTCCAGAAGAAGAGTTCTAAATGGCGACAGAGGTTTTAACCAAGTAAAGAAAGCACTTAATTTGATAATACTCTAGGCCTCCAAATCACTTTTCTCCCCAAATCATTTTACTAGAGTTTAAACCGTATAGTTCTCCAGTCAACTTTACCTTCTCAAACTGATTTTGTAGGCACACATAGTTGCATTATGCAAGGCAGTAAATCCCTGGTTGAGTGGGAATGGAATGAAGAAGGCTGCATCTCCAGTGCCAGATCTTCCACTGCATGTGCATAAAGTTTAGCACAACTTAAAAGGAGAGTGGTTAGCCAGAGGCAGCTTTTTATTACATTTATGATCTTATTATAATCTGTTATGGAACAAGGAGGATCTCCAATCCCTGTGTAAGTAAATGTGATCTTACGATAGTCCTAACTTGCCTGCCTGGACTACCACAAACGTAACTTGTGCTATACTTGCACACCTGAAACAGCTTGCAGTGTTTTGCAGGGCCAACAGGATCAGTGAAATACAGTATACAACCAAATTTATCCACTGAGGAGACGAGGTGCCAGGAGCAGGCAAAACAGAGCCAGGTATGTAAATTTACATTATTTAAAGATTTCCTCGCACAAGAACGACCACATTGCCCACATGTGGCTAAATCTTTACATTGTTGGTGTAGTGATGTATGAGTAGTCCACAGACTTGACTGTTCGTTGGCACTATGGGCAGGTTTGTAGTCTTGTTCTTCTGAGCTTTAAGTGTATTGCTCTCATTACTATGGTAAAGTATACTTGATGTGGAAAACACATTTTTCTCTGCACAGACAGCATAAAAATTACTTCAAAGTAATGGTGCTTTTGGATATGTGTGGATATGAGTGAAGGACATGGAGAAAAAGTTAAGTAGGAAAACTGAATTAACAGTACAGATTTGCACTGCTTACATCTATCTTGTAGCACAGTTGGTCAGCGATTTCATTTGTTTTCTGGTTATACTGCAGCCCAATTCATACTTTAGATTTGTTCAAAGCTCTTTCATTGTCTTGCAAGTTTCACCTCAGTTTTT